CACACTATGGCCCTGAGGTTCACTCAGCCTCTAACAGAAATGAGTTCCAGGAATTAATTAAATAATTTTCCTCGGGAGTAAAGCGTGGCCGACGCGTAAGGCTGACAACCTTACCGCCATCTTTGAGCCGATTGTCTAGATAATGTGGGACCCTCAATGTCTCACAACCCTATGGGCCTTCAGGGCCTGTTACAGGGATAGCTTTACTTTACTTACATTTGTGTTAGTGTTACATATAACCAGTCATCAGTAAAGAAGACAGAGGAAAGATTCCTCTTTGTGTTAGTGTTATATATAACCAGTCATCAGTAAACAAGATAGATTCCTCTTTGTGTTAGTGTTACATACATAGGGCGGTCAAAAAGTTCCCAGAATTCCCCTGCAGATGGAGAATGAGCGATAATATAGCGCACATACTGTTGTGGTGGGAAGCTCAGCATGTCTGCTTGCAGGCGCAACAGGTCTGGACAGGTTTCAGTGTGCAGTGTCATGACTGTTCCGTTTGAATTAGACGTGAGTGTTGGTCATTCGGCGCAATGTCGCAGTTCGAACAGCGAGCAAACATCAAGTTGATGTGCAAATTGGACAAATCTGCTTCAGAGACGCTATCAGCCCTGTAGCAAGTTTACAGTGATACTGCACTAAAGAAATCTGCAATTTATGACTGGTTTTCCCGGTTTAAGAATGGGCAGGAGACATTAGAGGATGACCAGCGCAGTGGGAGACCTTCGACATTCAGAACCGAAGAAATGATTGGAAAAGTGTGACAACTGATTCGATGTGATCGAAGAATGACCATTGCGGAGTTGGAGCAAGAAGTTGGTACTGTTACTGGCCATTTCTACGTTCAAGTTTTGCAGAGGTTGTGCGATGCGGTTCGGAGGAAGCAGCGCAAAAAGTGACAGGGACAGTGGTTTCTCCATCATGATAACGCACTGAGCCACACATTGCTTGTTGTGCAGCAATTCCTCACCAAGAAAAACATACCTGTCATCACTCAACCACCATACTCTCCGGATCTCGCTCAGAGTGACTTTTGGCTGTACCCTACTCTGAAAATGGGCCTCAAGGGGACATGTTTCGCAACCATGGAGGACATCAAATCGAATGTGATGGCTGAGCTTTGGAAGATTCCAAAAGAAGCCTTCCACTACTGCTTCCAACAATGGCAGGATCAACAGAGCAAGTGTGTGTGCGCGCAAGTGTCCTACTTTGAAGGTGATTAGGTAAGCATTGCCATATGTCTTACCATTAGAGTGCTATACTGCCATTCCAGGAACTTTATGACTCCCCTCATATAACCAATCATCGGTAAAGAAGACGGAGGACAGATTCCTCTTTGTGCTAGTGTTATAAAGTTAGAAACATAATCATAGTATGAAAATGCCAGTCTGATTTCTTCATATAATCCTACGAGGTCCAAAGTTTATCTAAATGATATTTAAGTATTTGGTGCTTGCGGTAGCATAGTTGGCTGAGGCACTATGTTACAAGCCGAAAGGTTGGGGGTTCGATTCCTGATGTCAGTGGATTTTTCAATTGATTTAATCATTCCAGCTGCACTATGGCCCTGAGGTCAACTAAGTCTCTAACAGAAATGGGTACCAGGAATCTTCCTGGGGGTATAGGGCAGCTGGCATGTAAGGCAGACCTCACCACCATCTGTGAGGCAACTATCTAGAAAATATTGAAGCCTCAATGTCTCACAGCCCTATGGCCTCCACGACCTATTACAGTGACAGTTTTACTTATTTTGAAGAATTCAGTTCCTGTGTCACAGAAATTACAATGCATCTCTATTGTAAAGACCAACAATTTCATTCTGTTTATGGAAATAATTGCTGCTTATTCTTAGACTCATATGAAGCGCATAAATAATGTGAGAAAAATTAGTTTTTTATTTTTAATATTAAAGCAGGTGGCACATACAGGGCCCATGCGCTTCAAAGTGCTAACAACTGAGAATATGGGGGGTCCTGGACAGCAATAACATTTAGCCACATCTTTACCATGAAACCTTTAAGATCTTACACATAACATCTTATGCAATAAATGAATCTAGAAGAGAAATTACGGGGCACGCGGTAGCATAGTTTTTTTATTATTATTATTATTGGAGGGGGTGGGTTTCCCCCATGCACTTAGACGGTAGCATAGTTGGCTGAGGCATTATGCTACAAGCCAGAAGGTCGCGGGATCAAATCCCGATGAGGTCATTTGATTTTTTCAATTTATCTAATCCTTCCGGCAGCACTATGGCCCTGGGGTCGACTCAGCCTCTAACAGAAATGAGTACAAGGAATATTCTGGGAATATTCTTGGCAGTAAAGGGCGGCCAGTGTGTAGGGCTGACAACCTTACCGCCATCTATGAGCCGACTGTCTAGAAAATGTGGGAACTTCAACATCTCACAACCCTATGGGCCTCCAAGGCCTGTTACAGGGATACCTTTACTTTTGCTTCTTTTAGGAGAGAGATTATAAATTTCTCTTCTTTGCATTTAAGATAGGCAAAGTGAGATCATAAAGATGGGCCCCAACCACTATGAATCTTAATACATATAAATCAGGATCTGGATATCAACAGAAAGTAGAATCTGGATATTGACAGGGAAGTTAAGATTGCCCCCTCATTGCCTTTCTCCTATATGTCTCATTCCTGAACTTAAAAAATTAAATACAAGAAATAATAATTAAATTTTGAAAAGAAACTATGTCCACTGGGTGAATTGGAGATTTAATATATTTTCTGAATAAAAACACAAACTGGGGTGTTCTGTCTTTCTATACCAGCTCCTTCTGCATCATAACTAATATCCATATCTAACTATACAACTACATATACACATAACTACATGTAACTCCAGTTTCTTCATGTCACTAAACACTGCTGAAACACTGTTAATGTAAGTCAGAGATTGGTAAATAGTACACATACCCAAGATGTCCAGCTTTGATTCAGCATATTTTGCAATACTACATATAGTGGAACCTCCATTTAGGGTTTATTTGGCGAGTAGTTGATCTGAACATTTAAAGTGAAGAAAATCTTAAATGGAGGAAACTTAACATACACATTACTGACTTCTTATCATTAAAATTGAACCTTAAATGGAATAACATTAAATGGGGGTTCCCTGTATTCCTTTATAATGCAATGTAAAACATCAGCTCTATCCCTTATACACAAACAGTTGAAAGATCATTATATCACCTGTAGAAATCACCCACCACCACATTCATAACACTGCGAGAAGATAAGAACAGCCTTTATCTTAACACAGCAACCATACTGCTGTTGCATTAGTTTCACATACTCTTTGGAAAATAAGGCAACCAAATATATGTGGTAACAGCAAAAATGAAGCTTCAAGAGATTGCTTTCTAGTATACGGTAATAAGACCCTTAGATATATAAGAGACTGAACAGTTTAGACGAAGCAATAACACATCTCACTTGTATTTGGGAGGTACATTATTTGGATTTTGGTTGGGCACTGTTCCCACAAAATTCATGCTTTTCCTCAATACTTGAAGCAGATTTTGAGATACTACCTTGAATTAGGCCATGCCCGTATAATTCCTTGGCTTTAAATTAAACATACATGACCATCATCTTATCTCGTGGGAGATTTAAGGTTCTTATGATGTTAACTATGAGGAAGAACCTTACCAATGTTTCAGAGGAAACTACTGTCTACATCCTCATGGCAGGTTCTTCCAAACTGCTTCTTATGATATACCAGACTACACAGCTTTGACAAAGATGGTAGTCATATTCTCATCTCTGCACCAAATACAATGGTTATAAATAAGCAATAAAACAACCACAAGGAGAGACTGGGAAATATTTCTCAGTACACAAGTGTTTACTGAGTTAAAACATTGTATAAAGCTTGTCTGCAGAATGACAGCCATAAATTCATGTGGAAAGGGGTCATCTGGTTTCCCAACATTAGAAAGCAATAAAGTGGGAATGATGGTGTTGCTAAACAATACTGGCAGTATCAGAAGTAATGATATAGCTGTGTGGTATTCTTTTTTTGTATGCCCCATCTTTAAGTCTTTATCCTGATGATGCTGCCTGCCTCTGTGACTTGCTGAGTCACATATCACAAAAAAGAGCCTGTACTGCAATTCAGATAACAGAAATAATAATTCTTGCTATACTGAATGCTTTTTATAACTAATCATCACTTGATATATAAATAAGTGTCTAGTATCAGAGGCACTTGTCTGTGCGCATTTTACAGCAAGAAACCTGTCAGCTCCATAAGAAAGTTGTATACAATAATTCCATAATTTCTAAGCTGTGTATCATTCTTTAAGCCTTTGCTGTATTTGAGATGTATCTGGATGACAACCTTGTTGGTACAGTTCAAAGAAAGTTGAATTTAGCAGTAACAATCACCAGCCATAACTTTTCCATCATGTTGTAATGAGAATAAGCTTGCTATAGCAACTGTAATTATGAAGTGTTCTATCTTCTCGGATATAATGCCAGGTAGTCCACTCAAAGTCAACAGACATTTTGGTGGAAAATGTCACCTCCATCTATTCCATCAAAGAATAAGCCAAGCAAGAAACCAGCATGAAACAGGTACCAAGCAAACCCTGAAGATGAAGACAACATGTTCCTCCAACATGTTGGTTGACATTCAACAGATTATACAGTGTTACATCCCAGAAGACAGAACTCTTCATAACCACCAATGTGAGAACCTCAAATTCTACAACTGCACTTATGGTTTACCAGTTCCAGCGTCAGCTCCAATGCTGCCTGGCATAAGGCTATAGATTGGTCACATGAATAAAAGAGAACAAATACAAAGTTTATAATGGACAACAAAATTGCCTCAGGTAAATTCAGCACTTACTATCCCTGCTGACTCACATCTTGCACTAATAAGTGTCCCTTACAGAGAGCATAAGAGGATACATAAAACTTATAACAATGGCCTACTAACATGTTACTCACAAACCTTTCAAAAAGCATGGCTTCTTATCCTGCACTGTAAGCAATGCATAAGTTTTGTTCCCTTCTGGAGTCATCAAATAACGTTGAAAGAGTTAAACCATTCAACTTACAAATTTTACTCTGGCTAGCATCCAAAAGAACTCACTAAAACAAATTAATAAACTCATCAGTGCAACAAAACTGTCCCATACTAAATACATTAATTTCATAGCATTTTAAAAAGCTCTAATAAAAGAAGTTCTAGCTATAGTCCAAACTTGCTAAAATTGCTTTTACTGTACATTACTCCATCTTGTTAATAGTCATTCACAACAGTATGGTTACTTCAAGCAAAGTGCTGTTCTGTAAATAAATAAAACGAAATTAACTTAAAGAGCAGATTCCTCCATGGGAGTAAGGCCGAGGTGAAGCAATGTACGCCAACCCCAGAACTGTTGAATTAGCAGCATCAAATGTCTGGTGGGTGAACAGGTGACCCAGACAAACGTTGTCAAGCTCATTATAACGAGAAAACACCTGAAACGTGAGTACAGAAAAACTTGGCATCATCTGTAAGAGAGCTATGAAATAATGGAAAGCATATATTATTTAACTGCTAAATATATGATAAGTAACATTTAGATCACAGTCATCAAATTATATAGCATTTGTTTATATTATATATGTGCAAACAGTGAAATTTCAATCTTTGTCTAGGAGACAAGTGAGTTGAAATTAAGGCCAAGTTATCTTCTTTCCAGAAAACTTTCATATTCTCTCATAGAGACCAAGTTATGAACAATTACACAATTCTGTTGCAGGCCTAATGTTCTGATAGCAGTAGCACTTTTGTGAGTAAATAATATTTCAGAATTAGGGATTGCCTGGATCTAGTCTTAAAAAAGTCATATAAAATGCAACACGATATCTTACAATTTTTCTCAAATGTCTGAAATGATTACATTGAGTTCCCCAGGGATCAATTTTAGGGCCTTTTCTTTTCATAATCTATATAAATGACCTCACTCCTACACTAAACACCTCAACAATACCCATACTATTTGCTGATGAAACTAGTGTCAAATGAGTACGTAGTTTTCTGCAAATAAGCCGTCCTTGAATCTAGATAAAACAAAGGCAATAAAATATATAACAAAAAACTCACCATAATATCCACTAAACATTGGACATAATGATAAATATGTAAAAGAGGCAGTAAACACAAAATTCTTGGCTTACAAATTGACAATCATTTAAACTGGAAAACCCATATTGAGCAGTTGGTTCCAAAGCTAAGTGGAGCATATTATGAAGTTAGATCTATGTTGCATGTCAGCAACACTGACACTCTCAAACCAATATACTGTAACATGTTTTGCTACTGAAGACGCAGTTCAGATTGTTAATTGGTTTATTTAACAACCTATAAGGCCCCCCATACACACACAGTTTGGCCTTCCGATCGACCTTACAGGCAAAACTGTGACAGTTTACCCCCTCCCTTTCCTCTCCATACACGCGCAGATAAAGCGGCAGGCTTCATGCCACAATCACGGTCTTCCAGCCTATAATGTTGAGTCACACACGTCACATGCTATGGTTCTGCAGGCAGAACTGACGGACTGATGGGTTTCCCACAGGCCAACAGTCCAAACAATTGGCCAGCCGGCCGCACAACACACGTCAGTTTTGCCTTTCAGTCTTCTACTGTGCAGGCCAAACTGGAGCCCAAACTGTGTGTGTATGGGGGCCCTAAGTCATAACTACAAATACTTATAACACTGTCGCAGGTTTAGACAATTTAAAAACCCCACACAATAATCTCTTCAGCAGTCTTCAAGTATTTATAATGCGGGAGCTATACAAGTGTCACTGAATTACACACTCCCAATACCTTCTCAGTTATCACCAACTATCACTGATTATCATATATAAACTCTTCTTATCATGCATTTGGTTCTTCTTCTTCCACGGCTGCTAGACTTCTTCATGTTCACAATTCACTCGCTGCAACTGAACTCGGCGACTGCTAGACTTCAAATGTCTTCGGCGGCTGCTACATTTTAACTCTCTCCTTACACATCCCAGTCTCCCTTATAAGCCCTCAGTCAGACTGTGGAAAACCCACATCGCTTCACTGTTGCATAAACGCCGTGTTTATAGGCATTGCTGGGGAATGCTGCCGAGAGTTGTTTATGGCTGTGTAGTAACCGTGGTGGCCCCTGTTACGTCACTGTGGGAAGCACTGTTATGTCACCGCGGGGACGGGGTGCTTACTGAGCGTTGCATAATGATGGAAGGAGTGTGGGTATGTGACGTCACTCGCGAGACCGCAGAGTTCACATGACCCCTACTTCCTGTTGCACCACCCACATCACACTGCTCCCTTCTAAAGGTTGTTCATCCTGAACAGCCTAACGGTACATCCCCATTCTTTTTTTTTCTGGTAGCCGTCTTCATAGCCACCCATGTCACACTATTTTTCTCACTTTCACTCTTTATTAAATTTGGTATCACTTTCTGATTTAATTCATCTGACAGCAAAACACTTCCATGTGAATATAAATTTTCATTAATAAACTTCATTACATATAACAAAGAACATTTTTAGACCAATGTAGATGTATACAGGGTTGACGCAAGCCTTATTTCCTTAAACCAACTGTTAACCTTTCATACTTTCAGAAAAATGCATATTATGCTGGAATCAAACTTTTCAATAATCTGCCATCTGATCTCAAACATCTTATGAATGAAAAAACACAATTTGACCTTTAAACACCTGACTTTTGAAGTGGTGGTAGCTTAAGCTGGCTGGAGTTTATTTAAATGCCCATTCTTTCTCTGTTTCAATGTCCTTTCCAGTTAGGGCTCTTACACTGTATTTAAAAATGGTGTATCTAATACAATTTTTATGATAAACGAATGGAATTAACTATGTTTTTATTGGTAAAGTTCATAGTGTCACGTATTATAACATAAGAATTGGAAATGTTTAGAAAATAAAGTTACACTATATTTTTAATTTTTTCTTGTAATTTTGAGGCATACTGTAAAAACTGTTTCCCACTCCTTCACAGAATAGTTCTGCATTATAAAATCATTCCTGCTTGTAACACTTTAAATATCTTCACTCTCTATGGTGCCATACAACATTTGGAAGCAACAAAATCATTTGATTCTCTTCTGGTAAGTTTCACATCTTTGTTACACTCTTCAGATACTGAAGTCTTAAAGTGAGAGTACCACCTTTCAATAAAAGCTAGAGGGAAAATTCTTTATTCCTCACTTCAGTGTCAAGCCCTTCCATTGCAGCTGCATGAGACTATTGCCCGTTCTATGGTCACAACTAAACACTTGCATTATCAATGAGATAGAGAGTGCATTCAATTTTCTGTGAGTTCAAGGGGAATTCAAATATTGTAATTTCATTTCATCATAAAATGGCAATGAAATATCATTCAGAAGATAATAAAACTGAAAGGCATCTGACGTGCAAGATATGTGACATAGGACTGTGCATTTTCGGATGCTGTAAAGAGTACCATACAAAAGCAAGATTCAGTTACATGAAGAGGGGGGGGGGTGTTTGAAGCCTGTATATACAGCAAGCAGATAATAACAAAAAAGTATGAACATTGAATTTTAATAGATTTAAGAATAAATATTTAGGATTGTGCACGCACTTCTACTAGTGGCATTTAAATGCCCAAATGCACAAATTGGGGTACTTTGGCTACGACGACCATACTCAATAATGTACCAATTGGTGCACTTCTGACATTAAAGGTTAAAATAGCAGTAAAATGAAACTTAAACACATACTCATTCTACTCTGTTGATGAATACTTATTGTCTAAAAAGTGACTCATTTAAAGGCCATGTAAATAGCGTAAGTTGACAGTATTGACGCACACATGTGGATGTATTTTTGAATAGCCTCAAGTGTTACCACTGTGTTTTCTCATGTGAAAACTTCAGTTGTACCATACATATGCATTTCACTCATCATCTGTAGTCTAGTGGTCAGAGTTCCTGGCTACAGATCCAGACATTCTGGGTTCGACTCTGGCGCTACCAGATTTTCTGAGGAGAAGTGGGTCTGGAAAGGGGTCCACTCAGCCTTGTGAGGTTAACTGAGGTGCTATTTCAAGGAAATAGTGGCTATGGTCTAGAAAACCGAGATTAACGGCCATGGGGATTTGTTGCACTGACTACGCGACATCATCTATCCACTAAAGTTGGCACTAACTTTGCCAACAAGTGGCGGCGCTCAGTTGGTATGGTTTGCTTGTGGACTAGAAAAATGGAGATTGCTTTGCTTTGACATATTCCACATCCTACAGTCATTTTGACTAACTATGGATCCAGGGAATACAATGCAATGTAATAAATTATACTTCGGCAGCTGACCTATAAGCACCATATGAGGATAGTGCCATATAAATGATATTGTACATGATTGTTATTAGACAGATTTATCAACCTTATAGTTCTTTAGTAAGCTATGTTTTCAACTGCACGACATTTAGCTGAAGAAGGTTTCCTTCAGCTCACATATTCAGAAATTATCTTACTCAGGACAATATTTTTAAATTACTGGCATCAGTATGAAATTAAATACAAAATTCAAACAATTAGGTAAAATTCCCCTCAGCAGACAATCAAGTAGAAATACCGACTCCAAAATCTATACAAACAGAGCTATTACATACATGCTTCTCTTCACTTTACAATTACCTTACAATGATATAACATTACCTCCAATAAGGTCCGCACATCCCATTTCTCCCGCATCATATTGTAGTGTTCTTCATTACCACGGACTTTGGTAGGTTTATTATGAACTACTATCTTTTTGATCACAAAACCCATGCCCTTGAAACCATCCTGCTCCTGCCGATCCTGCCATGTTGTATCATTATATATCTTGTGCACTCGGTCAATCAAGCTTATCTGTCACAAAATAAAACAGATTATCTCAGATCCTATTCAAGGACAAATGTCCCAGTTCTTTGTCTGGAAGAGCCAAAAGAATGAAAAGAAACTGAACTATTAGATGTTAACAATGAAAGACAGCTGGTATCAGTGGATGCATAGATGTTAGCTGTTCAGACAGATTCAAAATCTATATTGAGTATTTGTCTGCATTTTTTATAATCCTGCTTGTTAACATAATCAATATAACTTCAGGATTCTGTCACAGGCTAGCTCAATATGCAGCTAAATTACAAGGTGTATCCACAAAATAAGTTCCAACTGCAAATACTGCCGCTGAAGCGATATTTACTTATTGTTCTGTGTGCTTACAACGATCAAGAAAATTGAGAAGCCAGCTGCATGTGAAATGTGGTCTGTGATCCGTTTCTCGAATGCAAGAAACATGAAAGCAGCTGACATGCATCATCAACTTTGTGAAGTGTATGGAGAACATGTGATTCAATGGTAAGGAGATGGGTGAGACACTTTAAGGAAGGACGCGAAAATGTGCATGATGATCCATGGAGTGTCCGACCATCTGTGGTTAATGAAGATTTGGTGCATGCAGTGAAGAGAAGATTCAAGAGGACAGACAATCCACCATTTTGTCACTTTCCCTGCATTTCCACAAACTTCATGGTCACTTCTTCATGAAACTGTGCCTGATAAACTTCATTTTCAGAAATTGTGGTCAAGCTGGGTGCCGAAGATGCTTACAGATGAAGACAAAATGAAGCAGCAGGCCAGTGCGTTCACCTTTCTGACACGATACAGTGAGCAAGGCGATGACTTCATGAGGTGCAGAGTCACAGGGGACGAGACATGGGTGCCACACGTAACACCTGAATTGAAGCAGAAGTCCGTGGAATGGAGGCACACATCACCGCCAATAAGGAAAAAATTCGAACAGACCATTTCAACTCGTAAGATCATGTACAGTGTTTTGGGAAAGAAAAAGTGCTCTGCTTGTGGAATTCTTACCTCAAGGCTCAACAATCACTGCAGGTGTCTCTTGTGACACACTTAAAAAACCGAGTTGTGCGATCCAGAACAAGGGACATGGAATGTTTAGTTGGGGTGTAGTTATGCTTCACGACAATGCCTGCCCACACACTGCTGCCACAACGCAAGATCTCATTGTGACATTTGGCTGGGAACAATTTGATAATCCCCCTTCAGCCCAGACTTGGTGCCAAGTGATTTTCATGGGTTATCACTCTACGGTGCAGTGATACAAAAACTGGTGCTCTGCTAAAACAGGTGCCTCAACAATGGTGGAAGCTATGTCAAAAAGTAGCGTACAGTATGTAAATCAAACAGCAATATAAATGGTTTGGAATAGCCCATCGGAACTTACTTTCTGGATAACCTATGTATAGAGGACATAAGGAAATTGGGAACTCCCAAGACTGAACACACTTACAGGATTCAAGGCAAACTATACATAGAAACACTACACATTCAGGCAGTAATCTGCAATTAAAAAATTATTTGGCAACAACTGCTTCACGGATAAAAAATTGGTGAAACTCATCAAAAAGAAATGTGGCAAATTAATGACAACTTACAATGTACATGTAGTCATGAAAGCATTCATGAACATTTAATAAATTTATTAAGCAAGGCATAAATTCTTACTAAGTAATTAATGGTTGTCTTGGTGTTACTGCCTCCCATTTCCTGGTAGAAGCGATAATCAGCCACAAGTAGCAGGGGACATCTTGTTTTGGTTGGAGTGTATTCATACTGTTCAGCCTGTCGCTTGTTTCGTACCTTAGTATAACTGTCATCATCCTCATTGCCTTCAGGGTCTATAAAGGTAATTCAGCATACCAGTAATTACAACTTTATAAAAAAATAAAACACCTTACATCAAGTTTCATTAGTCTAAGAACAGATGCATAAAAATCCTCATACAAGCAGACCTGCTTATTTAGGGGAAAGACATGATATCCTACAACAAAGGTACAGTCCAGCCAAATTTAGAATATATTGTTTGCTGCATATCTCCTCCATCATCTGATAAAGTCAAAACTTTTCTGAATACGGGAAATAACAGGCTTCCACTATGGTTCAAATTTTGTTACATTGCTGGTTCCCTCTGACAAACATGACAGTTGCTGCCACACAACAATCTGACATATTAAACAACTTCCTTTCTTTCTTTCTTTCTTTCTTTCTTTGTATCAATGCAATGTCTGATGTCAATTTGTTAGTTATGGATTTAAATTTGACTCTACTGTATTTGTTATGGCTGTCAACATATTAAACAAATAAAACCAAAATGTACAATTACATTTAAACTAATTTGGCCAAAATTCTGGTAGCAATATTCCTCCACTATTTATGCTGACAGACTCAGTCTCCAGAGTCTTATTTGTGAAAGCAGACATTTATCTATCATTTATGTTTTGAAAGATCCTTACTTCCATAAATGTCTACTTCACTCCTCTACTATCCAATCCTCTAACTTTTTCCTCCTCAGAATTTGTACGTAGACTTAATATTGATTTCCTTCAAATATATGTCAAAAGCATAAAACAAACACATTGCAATTGATTTATATCCGAAATGGTTTTAATTCCATATACAGCACCTCCTGCCATTCAGACAACTTAATGTAAGCCAGTATCCACATCTGTCACTGCCTACGTTTTGAATAAATCTGCTCTGTCTGCTCTATATGAAGCCTGTGTGCACTCTGTCTTGGAACTCACTGGTATTATTGTGAGGTAAAATACTACACTGAGACTGCTCATTTATGTAGTACAGTTCAGCCATGCAATACAGATCATATAGCAAAGAGAAATATTGCAAGATAGTCTGTAACAAATTATTCCTACAGGCAGAAGTACATTTACGCAAAGACTAGGTGGATTTATACCTTCATTCTACAGCAGTTTTGCAATACATAAGATTCATGTCACTACTTCATCTAATGTTCCAACAGATTAAGGTGAAATCTGTCTCACTTCATTAACCCAAGGCTCACAGCAGTATCAAAAGTGTCACAGTAAGTATAAACTGTAAAGATTCTTGTCACTTCTATATTAAATACTGGCATATTATCCATTACACACCAACCCATATCTCCATGATCCATGTTAATATTATCCTCCCACCTATGTCTAGGTCTCACTAGTGGTATCTTTCCTTGTAGCTTCCCACCAAAACACTGTATGCACTCCTCTTCACCCCATGTGTGCTACATGCCCTGTTCATCTCATCCTCCTAATTATATCTTGCAAAGAGGACAAGTTATGAAGCTCATTATGCATATTTCTCCAACCTATTATTTTTTCCCTCTTCGCTTCAAATATTCTCCTCAGCAATATGTTCTCCAATACCTTCAGTCTATGTTCTTCCCTTATTGTCAGAGGCCAAGTTTCACACCCATACAAAACTACAGACAAAATTACAGCTTTGTGAATTTTAATTACTACATTTTTAGAGAACAGAGGAGAAGACATAAAGTTCTAACTGAACGGTAACAAGCATTACCTGAATTCAACATGCACTTAACTACCTCATGAATCAAATTCTGATTTGTTACTGTCATGACTAAAAATTTCAACTGTGCCATATATTCAGAGTATCTGTTAGCTGCCTGTACATTATGATTTTTCCTTGCATTCTGATGACAAGATAGTAACATATTGTAATGGATTTGCTCAAAGCACTGCTAGGCAACAGCTTGGTAAACACGTTCCAACATGCTGGAAACTGTGTCTCAGTTGACAAATGTTATAGCTCACTGCTAGGCAGCAGTCAGTGCGCCAATGAACTCACTGGGTAGCAATCATGTGACTTGTGTTTCCTGTGTGGTCTGTGCAGAGCCTATATAACAAGGATCTGTTGTAGTTTAGATTAGTTCAGTGTAGTTGAGAGTACTAGAATGAGAATGGAGCATGTCTTTAACAAATTGTGAAGATTAGTTGAGTACAGAGCGACTGAAGACAAAAAACATGAAGATATCATAGTGATTTGAAGTGCTAGTTTCTATGTTGAGATCCGTTGCCAGGAGATGACTAGTGAAGACGAAGAATCCTAGTGTGTGTGCAATGGTGAACTGAAAGTGTACAGAATAATGGTAGCATTACAATTGAGTGTGATCATGAGAATCTGTAATTAATAAATCCAATCATCCAATCTAGAACCTGTTATTTTTGTCACGCGTACCCCCTATACATGACAATATACACTCAAGTGCCAAAAGTCATGGGATAGCAGTAGGTACATTTCTTTTTAAGTGGCGCCAGCATCCCTTGATGGCTTGGAAATTCCCAGAGCAGTATCAGTTGTGAGGTGTTCTCTTGTGAGTGAGGTTGNAATTTCTTTTTAAGTGGCGCCCTCTCGTGAGTGAGGTTGAACACTGGCCAGTCTGCTCATGGCAAGCCGACATGAATTATCGGAGTTTCAACGGGGCATGATAGTGGGTGCCAGGTGGATGGGACATTTCATTTCCGAAGTTGTGCGGTCATTCAACATTCCTTGATCCACGGTGTCACGTGTGTGTGTGTGGGGAATACCTTGTGGAAGCCATTTCCACCCACTGTGGACAGCGCAGTGGCCGACCATGGGTGCTTNAGAGTTTCAACGGGGCATGACAGTAGGTGTCAGGTGGATGAGACATTTCATTTCCGAAGTTGTGAGGTCATTCAACATTCCTTGATCCACGGTGTCACGTGTGTGTGTGTGGGGAATACCTTGTGGAAGCCATTTCCACCCACTGTGGACAGCGCAGTGGCCGACCATGGGTGCTTAATGATCATGACCAGCGGCGTCTAGCTAAAATTGTCCGTGGTAACAGACAAGCGACACTGGCTGAAATCACATCCACATTCAATGCAGGAGGTACCAGACACATATCCAGCAGGTGAGTGCAGTGTTCTTTAGCTTCCATGGGATATGGGAGCAGAGGACCGAAAAGAGTGCCTCTGTTAACACCACGACACTGGACACAGTGCCTCACCTGGGCTTGTGATGTCGCTAATTGGACCCTGGAGGATTGGCAATATGTGGCGTTGTCTGATGAGCCATGGTACCAGTTGTTTCGGGCGGATGGTAGGATTCGGGTGTGGCGCAGACCCCATGAGGCCATGGACCGCAGTTGTCAACAAGGCACCATGCAGGCTGGTGGTGGTTCCATACTGGTGTTGGGTGTGTTCACGTGGCATGAGTTGGGTCCGCTCGTCCACCTAAACACGTCATTGACCGGTGACCGTTACGTTACACTGCTTGGTGACCATTTGCAGCCATTCATGGACTTGATGTACCCCCACAACGATGGGATATTCCAGCAGGACAATGTACTGTGTCATTGGGCCGGAGTTGTCCTGAATTTGTTCGAGGAGCATTATAGAGAGTTCCGACGAATGGTGTGGCCACCATGTT